ACGGGTCGTTGTAGCACACAAGCCCCCGTTGACTCAGCTCGCCCTACCCACCCTCGACTCAACGGTCGATCTCACCTCGCTTCGCTCGGTTTCATTCTCCCTCCCTAACCCTAAGACCCCGAGCCTGCACCACTCCGGACGCCCAACTCAAGCTTCCACCAACCCCTCAGTATGTCGCAATCCTTCGCCCGCACCCTCTCCCCCTCCATCTCTGCTGCGATCGATGCGTTTGGCTCCGTCACCGACGGCCAAGCTGCAAAGGACGTCGCCAGTGCCGCTACGTTCACGCGTCGGCACGCGTACAATGACGCGAAGTCCGTCTCGGACCTCGTCGAGTGCGCTCCGGTTGACTACCGGACTTCCCTCGAGCCGGCGATCCGCAGAATCGCCGAACTCGCTGAAAAGCGAGTAAACGCTCGGTCCGCCCTTCGCAAGGCGGAAGCGGCTATCACCGCTGGGAAGGTTCCCTCCCACCTTCAATTGAAGGTGCCGACCATTCAGGCGGTCAAGGAGTACCGCGAAGCGGGCCCAGAAGAAATTCAGGGTCATGCTGTCGGCTCGTGGCAATCCCACGTCGACTCGATCGAGTCTGTGGTCAAGAAGGCCCAGGACTCGATCGTCTCGTCCTACGTGCAAATCGTCAAGGACGAGATCGTGGTACTCGGGAACAAGCTGTCCCGTGACGCACTGTTCGACCAGCTCAAGGTCGCAGTCTCCCCACGCTTTTCGGAGCTTAAGGAGTCGCGTCAGGAACCCGTCTATGAGTGGCGGTATAAGGTCCCCACCATCAACGCTCTCGGCGAGAGTGTGTTCGAGGACAAGTGGACTCGAACCCGCCAGGATACGGCGGTTGATGTGCGGATCGCTGGATGGCAGGATTCTCCGACGGTCATGTCGGAGTTCCAGAACCTCGTCTCCGACCTCGTCTTCCTCGGCTTCCGCGCTATCGCGATCGTCGAGGCCAAGGACCTAGCCTTGCAGAAGAAGATCGAGAAGAAGAAAGAGATCGAGAAGTCGGCTGATGCCGAGATGATCGACGCGACCAAGCCTGGTCCGTCGACTCAGTCCCTCGTGGATAAGGCCGTGAGTGGCCGCGTCAAGTCGCTCGAGGCTCAGATCAAGAAGGCGAGTGGTCCGGTTCGTTCCGCTCTTACTCCCCGTCTTAAATCTCTTGTTTCAGTTGTCCGTCACGGCGGCAAAGAAAGCCTCGAAACCCAAGCCCGACGCCAAGAAGGGGAAACCCTCCTCGGCCAAGTCCAACGCACCGGCAAAGAAGAACACCGCGAAGGACTCGACGAAGAAGAACGTCGGGAAGAAGTCCAACGGAGCCGGACCCTCGTCGAAAGACAAGGGAAAGGGCAAGCAGGGCAGGAAGTAGACCGGTACGTATTCGGTCGACCTGCTAGCCTTCCGGACAGAGTACTCACCATGACACCACAACAGGCAATCGATTACGTGCTCTTGAACGCCCCTATCGGTGTGTTGGAGGCGTCCCAGTTCGCTGCGTACGTTCATACGTCGCCTGGTGTAGTAGTACCTGAAAGCATCGCATACTCACTCTCTGTCGGACTCAAATATATGTATCATTCGCGCCGCAACTCTAGTCTGATCTTGAGTGCATGGGAAGATTTTGAACGTCGCCTGCGATGGCGACTTAAGTTTACTTTCCAAGACGGCCCGAATTCTCCGTACGACCCAGACTACGACGTCTCCAAACTGAAAGGTAAGGCGCCGCCGCAGTTACCGCAAATGCTTGAAAACGGCATCAGTAGGGGTAGGCGCTTCGTTAACCAAACGATCGCCCAAATTCCCGAAGAAGATGAGGGGCTGGCGACCTATAAATCGCTTACGCCAAATCCTCGCCAAATACAAGCGTTCTTAAATGAGCGAAACTATGTAGTCACTCTAACCGACAAGAACTTGGGACTTGCGGTGTCTGAGCGAGACTGGTTAAATACGGAAACGTTAAAAATGCTTAATAACAAAAATGATTATAAACCCATAATGGAGATCATGGCACAAACGATTTTTAACGCTAAACAAAAAGAGATCGAACAAATAGCCCTCGTTGCGGACGAGGAATACGATCTCTGCGCCCTTAAAGTTCCGGCTTTTCTTAAGTCGCAATTTCCTGAAGAAGGACAGAAACACGAGTTCCCGGAATTCTATGGAATTCCGAAAATCCACAAGAACCCCGCCGGGTTCAGACCGATTATACCGTGTCATTCTGTACTCATGGGCCCCGCAGCGAAATTCTGCAGTAAACAATTGAAAGCGCTTGTCGCTTCTCAGCCAACCGTAATTCACGGAACTAAGGACTTGGCTGTGAAATTGTCGAAAATTAAACTACCTACTTTAAACTACGGCGAACGGTGGTACTTTGTCGCCGGCGACGTTGTAGCATTTTATCCGAACGTTCCGCTAGAACCATGTATTGACATCGTTTACAATATGTGGCTGGACTTCACGTTTACGGATCCTATGATGTTTAATGCAACGTATGAAGAGAACGGCATGGATCTCGGAGGAAAAGGAAGACAACTCCGACTCCTTGCCGAAGTAATGCGTAGATGCCTTAAAGTAGGAAATACGGATTTGATATGCCGATACGGCAAAAAGTTATTTTACCAAAAACGCGGCCTTGCTATGGGGGTCGCGGATTCGCCAGACCTGGCGAATTTATATGGTTGTTACTTTGAAAATGCCGCTAAAATAATAGACGACCCTAATGTCGCCTATTACGGTAGATACATCGACGATTGTTTCGGTATTGTACGCGCGAAGAGTAGTGAATTAGCAAGGCAATACCTGGATCAACGAATATCGTTTGATGGCTGTCAAATCTTGTGGGAATCTTCGCCAACGCGGACCACTTTTCTGGACATGATGCT